AACCTGCTTGTCATACTAGGAAGCAGAAGCCACAGGAGAGAGAAGGCACCAAAAAGACAGAAAAGTAGGGAAAACTTCTAATCAAATTCATCCTACGCATTATTTTATTGGAAAGGCAAGCATCATTTTGTTTTTTGTTTTGTTTTTTTTAAACGCTCATAGAGGACGCCACGTTTATTTCTGCCGGGTGGTTCAAACGTGCATAAATGTTGATGAAATATAGCATATAAACTACGCCATATGCTCTCATTATAAGTAACTGGATTCTGCGATGCTTCGGTTCCGGCTATAAAACGTTAACTGCTCGCCTCCTTTATTGCACAGATTTGTATTTTTATTTTTTTTTTTGCCTTCGTACAAATAAAGGTAAAGACACGAAGTAGCTTTTGTGCAAAATGTGCGTGTGTGTTTATTAGTCAGGGAATTACAGAAGAGGATTGCCCCCCCCCCCCCCTTTCATAACGCCTTTAAGGGTAGGGCTCATCCATACACCGCATTTTTTTTTTTTTTACATACAAGACCCAGCGGTCCGCCATCCAACCTAACTTTGACGTTGTTTTGCAAGTCATCGCTGACAGACTCACATTCAGCCCCCTCAGATTCTGGAGCTCGGCTTTTTTTTTTTTTTTTTTCTTTCCTTGAAATCGTCCTGTCAAGGCCTGGAGGTAAGGCGCCGCTTTTTTTTTTTTTTTTTTTTTTGGGTAAATAAAGCGGCTCGGGGGCGTCTAAAGATTGAGCAACAGCGCCATCTCGCGCCGGTTTGTCCCCAAGGCACGCGCCCTGCGGAACGGGGCTTGAACTGCGCCGGGTGGGAAAAGAATTGAGCCCCTTTCGGAGGGTCAAAAATATAGATCTCCCAGCACCACCTTCTTCTTCTTTCTTCTTCTTTTTCTTTCTTTCTTTCTTTTTACTCCACCCATCCCTTCCACTCCAACCTCTCTCCTCCCCCCCCACCCCACGTCACCACCACCCCGCATTCCCACTCCATGCATACTATTAGGTCCCACAGGAAACAAAAGCCGAGTAAAATCCCATTTCTTTTCCTAAACAACAACAACAACAAGAAGGAGGAAAGAATTAGAACATCTGGCGTTACTCGGTCAACAACAGATTCCCAAGGCTTGGGGAGGGGGGGGGAATAGGTTTTAATTATTGGAGGCGCACCCTTCGCTCAGGTTTCTTCTGCCCCCCCCCCCTCCTCCCCACTCTCTTCAGCTAAAACCCCAGTTCTCAGAACAATAACCCTCACGTATCCCGCTCGCGCGCGGGCACACACACTCACACCCTCACACCACTGCCCGAGCCAAAGGCAGCCGCTTCCCTCTCACCTCTCCTGTCAACCTCCCCCCTCCCGCCGCCGCCTCCCCCCCCCACTCCCGGTTCACAACCTTTAAAAAAACGGGGGGGCGCTTCCTCCTCTGCCAAGCGCTAGGAGGGGGAGCGGGGTGGGGGGGGAGGAGGTGGGGGGGACAGAAGGTGGGCGAGGGGGAGGGGGCGAAATGCGCGTCTGTTGTTGGTTGCCGGTAGACAAAACATTCCAATAATCCGGTTTCAAAGGGAAGAGCACCCCACCTTATTAAAACCATAAAACGATTAAGGCCAGACGTCTAGCCGGTTCCGTGGTCCTGTTTTTGTTCAATTCTATTCAGCGCGGAGACAATCAAAGTTGTAAAAGCTGGCATTTTTGGGCTGCGGAAATGTACCTCTGGGCTGCTTTCAAAGCTGCTGTATCCTGTCTTTTTTGTATTGACTACAAAAGGGTTCTGTTTGGGGTTTTCGTTTTTGTTTTTAAGGACAAGATGAGAGGCCCACTCCTTCCTTCCAGCCTTCCTTCCTTCCTTCCTTCCTTCCTTCCTTCCTTCCTTCCTTCCTTCCTTCCTTTCTTCCCTCCCTCCCTCCCTCCCTCCCTCCCTCCCTCCCTCCTTCCTTCCTTCCATATCCTTCCATATCCTTCCTTCCTTCCTTCCATATCCTTCCTTCCTTCCTTCCTTCCTTCCTTCCTTCCTTCCTTCCTTCTTACCTTCCTTCCTTCCTTCCTTCCTTTCCTTCCTTCCCTCCTTCCTTCCTTCCCTCCTTCCCTTCCTTTTATCCTCTCTCCCTCTCCAATGTGTATACATATCCCCACCTACCCCCACCCCTATATAACATCCACAAAAGCAAACACCACGGAGAAACGGGTGGTGGTGGTTATTATCGGGATTTTTAATTTAGAAACAAAAGAAAGCATAATGAATCTGGCTGCTGCGAGACGAATGCAACCAACGAATGCAAGGTTGCTTGCACATTCGACCCTGTTGGGTGAAGATGCTTGAAGATACAGTCCTGTTATGCATATTTGAGTAAGTTATTCCCAGTTACTTCTGGGAAAATGTATACACACAGAGAGAGAGAGAAATGTACACACACATACACATGCATGCCTGCCATTAAATTACATCTATGAAAGGAGATGCCCTGAATTTTACGTGGAAGTCTTGTGCAGAAACTGACACTATATTCCTCCATAAAACAAAGCAAGCTAGAAAGAAACGGGGAAAGAAAGAGGGAGGGGGAGGGAGGGAGGGTGGGAGGGAGGAGGAGGAGGAGGAGAGAGAGAACAACAGTCTTATGGAAACAAAGGAAGCATAACTTACATTCTTTTCTTCTCCATTACCTCCAATGGGAGCTCAGCTCTGCTGAAGACTATTGGGTAGGGGGGAGGAGGGGCTGGGGGAGAGAGAAAGGTGAAAGAGGCTGCATCTTTAGTCATCTTGAAAATGAGGTCTGGTGGAACTGGAAGGATTTTCAAGCATGGGGAAGGCTCAAAGTTAATAAAAGGGACACTAGTCTATCAGAGAGATGGCGAGAAAAGGAAAGAAGGAAGGAAGGAAGGTGGGAGGAAGGAAGGCAGGAAGGAAGGAGGGAAGGAAGGAGGGAGGGAGGGAGGGTGGGTGGGAGGGAAGGAAGGATTTTAAAGATGGATATTCTTTTTTGTTTTATCTTTTCAAATTCACATTGAATACAGGGTTGTAACTACTAAATTGCTTCCGCCACCATTCCTGTTATAGCAGACAAAAGGAAAACGAGGGGAGGGGGTTTATACATATTTATTTATTGCCCTTTACACGGAACTTTTCGATCTTTCCTGCCCTTCCGCATTTGCTGTATACTCGGACCCTCTTAAAAAACACTGCACAAAGCTAAAGCTTAGCTGTTACATTTTTTTTTTTTGTTCGAACGGATAAGCATTCTTTTCCTGCTCCCAAGTCCTACCTCCCCCGGTCTTATGCAACCTAGATAAACACACAAGCCTGCAAACTTATTTTCATAAACGGCAGACACAAAGTACGAAGTAATCGTTTGAGGACATCAGCGGGGCAAAGGTTCCAGATTTTTTTTTTTCCTTTAAAAAAAAAACAAAACCACATATTTATTTTGTTGTTCGTTTCTATGGAGGCTTGGATCTTTGCAAGCCTCGATCTGTTTACCATTAGAAAAATTAGAAGTAATTTGGCTTCTTCCTTCTTTCAAGAAAACCAATGCTTTATAAACAAGTTGTGAGGAAGCATCTCACAGGCGTCTTTTCCCCTTTTTAAAAAATAAAATAAAATAAAATAAAATAAAAACCCTTTGACTTTCATTTAAACGGCCCTGGCAACAGGAGACCTGCCTTTGTAGGAAAGATTTTTAAATGACCTATGAAAAAGTAGAAAATCCTGGCCTTCCACCATCCCAGAGCCCCCTCCTCGCGTTGCCACCTTTCCCGCCGGGCCCCGTGTCATTTAACTCGTTCCTAAACAGAGAGACCCGCGGAGTTTTAACACTCCCAGATTCCCTTTCTCCCTGCCCGAGAAAGAGGTTTTAAAAGGGGCCAAGGGGCTGGGGGGCGGGGAACCTTCCGATCTGAATTCCACTCCCTTAGGCTTTATAACATTTTAAGCTTTTTATTATTATTTAGATGATGCTCTCTCGCTATTCAGTCCTAACACTACCATTAGGAACACACCATCCCCCCCTCCTCTTTTTCTCCCCCTCCCCTGTGGTGGTGGTGGTACATTACGAACCTAATTCGTAATTGCTTGGGCCCCCAAGCGAGGCACTAACAAGTTTTTGGCACTTCGCTGATAATCCCAAAGCGTTCCAATAGAATAGTCTCCGGGCGATCACAAAAGTAAAGAGTAAACTATCTGCGAGCAGAACCGGACTGGGGCCCTTATTTTATCTCGTGCACATTCTTTGATTGCCCAGGGTCATAAATTAGTACAATTAATTACCCCAAATTAAAATGCAGAGCACCCTGCCGCCTTTTACCCGAATCTTCTCTCTTATTTTTTTTTTGTGTTTTGTTTTGTTTTGTTTTACCAGCATGACATTAGGCAGATATTGGTATATTGAGAGACAAGGAGAAAGGTTCAGGGGCTAAGAGACTGAGAAAGGAAAATAAAAATAAAAATAATGGTAAACATAATGGTAAAAATAATGGAAGCCGAAAATCTGTTCTTTTCCTACAATTTCCCAAGAGAAGATATTCTGGTCTTCTATTTTCCGAAGGAAACCAGCGGTAATTAAATGGACCTCTTTTTCCAGAATTTGTATCCGTAAGAATCCCAAAACAGTGTCTCCCTGCCCTTTCCTTCCTTTACAACTTACTCGGGGGAGGGGGTATTATTCCTCCATAGGAGTTTACATTTTTTTTTTAAAAAAGACACCTTGATTACCGACGGATTTTTTTCCTCCTTTTTTTTGGGTGACGTTAGGTATATATTTACAGAAAGCTGTTCTACGATAGCAAAACATAACAGTGTTACAGAACGGTTCTGTGACAATCAGAGAAGACACAAATAAGTACACCAGTTCGACACGAGGACAGAAACATTGTTTTGAGCAATCACTCCCCCCTACCACCATTTTTTTCCTTTCTCCTTCTTTCCACCCCCCCCCACCCACTTTTATTCTTTCCATTGTACAAAATATGCAACCACAACATCATAAAATAATAATTAAAAAAAAACAAAAAAAAACAAAAACCACTGGATAAATTTAATTTACAAAATAAAATACTAATCCAAAAATTCAAGTACTTTGTTGTTTTTTTCTGAAAAGAAAAAAAAAGTTTATTTTTAGTTGCAATTGTTAGGGATGTGTATGTGTGTATGTGTGTGTGTGTGTGTGTGTGTGTTTGCATTTTGTAAAGAAAAGCACTTTTTATGTTTCTCTTTCCCTCTGTCTCTGTCTCTGTCTCTCTCTCTCATTTTTGTTCCAGAAAGGTTTGCCGTGTTTAACTAATTCTAAACACTCATCAGCACATTAAGGGGGAAAAAAGTCAGGAACAATTTCTTTCTTGGGAAAAACCAGCGCCTTGATTTCTCCACAGACTGGAAGGATGTGGCCAGTTTCACTGCTGCTCTTTATTATTGTTATTATCGGTTTTCTCTTTATTCATTTTCTTCATTTTCATCCTCCTGTTCTGAAACCAGATTTTGACTTGGCGCTCAGTGAGATTAAGAACCCTGGCTACTTCATAACGGCGGTCCCGAGTTAGGTACATATTGAATAAAAACTCTTTTTCTAGTTCCAGCGTTTGATATTTCGTGTAAGGACATCTTTTCTTTCTTGTAGAACGTGCATGAATCCAATTTGCAACAGGGTTATCTGCAAAATAAAGATTGGGACATTTAATTTATTATTGATTGTTTATTTACCTACCCGTCTCTGTTTATTCATTTAGCCCTTTCCCAGATCTGCATTTATTGATGGCAGTACCTTCAAATAGAGATGCCCTAAATTCATATCCCATCCTTATAATTTTAGTATTTATCTAAAGTTCTCCTATCTAAAAAGTCTCTTTAGACAAGCGAGCATTCCCCTGCTCAAGCCTGAAGTGACCTTCAGGATTTTTAAGGGCACATCTATTCTTTTATAGGAACTGAGCGTGGACTGTATTCATCAGTGTGCAAGCAGGGAGGCACTAAACAGTAGTGAGTTTAACTAGTTCTGTCCTGCGCCCTGTTTCTGACTATCATTTGATTTTATTTAGCGATCATTCTCTCCCACAAACTGCAATTCTAAAATAAAAGTAGGGCCAAGAGGTTGTAATAACAACAACAATAATAATATGCCTCTATTAAGGGTAACTCAAGAACACAATCATGAAAAGTCTAAATTCCCACCATTTCATAGGCCCATAAACTCTGTTTACAACCTTGGCTCTCCAGCTCTCTCCCTATAACTTCCCACTTGAAGGAGCTGCCAGCAATTTTAAAAGGAATGAGAATATATATATATATATATATTCAGACAGTGTCTCAGAAGAAGCCTAATGGTTGCAGAAAAAAAATTAATTCTCTTCCCTTTTCTGAGCAATGAAACACTGTCCCTTGCAGACCCTCTTTACAACTTTCTCAGAAGGTATTAGCTTAATTAGATTAATTATTTCTTGGGTGAAATTTGGTTGTAATGAATATGCTATAGATAGTAGTCTCCTTTAGTCTATGATCTGTGCCTCTTATTCCCTCTCTCCCTTTCTCCCTCTCTCCATGAATTTGTATAAGTGCATCTGCCTATGTGGCACAAATACAATTAAAATGATCAGAATGAACCAGCATATCAGGCCTGAAAGGATTTCTACACACCTGGCATGGGAATCTGTCTATAGAGCAGAAGAGGAGGGGAAGAGACCAGCTCTCTTTAACTCTAGATGAGCACCAAAAAAATGCACACACATCTCTTTTGCAGGGCATGTGAATCAATAAACAAGTGGGCTTTATTTCTTGGCACTAGGGTCATCTTAATTCCACATATTTTGCTTTCTGTTTCTCACCTCCCACCGACTGCACACTAGAAAAAAAAAATCTCCCATGTTTAAATGGCAGATGTCCACTAGGAAATGAACATTTCAGTGTGCAGAAGAATGATTACTTTAAAAAAAAAAAAAGCAAAGCAAAGCAAGAGCACAAATCCCTTGGAGACCCTTTCAGCTGTTTTAACAGTGTTCAAGGTTATTTCTTCTTCTCTCTCTCTCTTTTTTTAAAGTCCCTTTACTAGTAAGTTACACTGTAGAATTCATTTTCCTTTTTTAAAAAAATGGAAGGGGGGGGGGAGAGAAAATGATGTGTATTATTAACTGTTCTTTCAAACGTTTGGACTTCTCTCCCCATCTGCTATACTCCCAACAGCGATTTGTACTTTCCCTAAATCCAATTATTTGTTTTCTCATCGCCTTCCTTTATTTGCTGTCCCCCTCTCCATTGCTATCCCTTAACTTTTCGATCCCCCCCACGTTCTGGATGGAGGCAAAAATCTGGGGGATTATTGTCTGGAGTGGGGTTTTGTTTTGTTTTCATCCCCCCTCCTCCTCTAAGGCTTTCTCAGGCAATCCCCCCTGCTTTTCAGTACACATCAACATCCCAATATTCTTTCCCCTCCCACATACCCCTGATAGCTTTTGCCAGGCTTCTTCCTCCAAAAGTCAGAAGGACTAAAATGCAAGGAAGAGTGGGGGCAAAGCAGGTTCTGCCTAGTTTAGGAACAAACAAAAGTATCCCAAATGCGAAGGAAAGCCAAAGCGAGAGAGAGGACGAAGGACCCATCCAGATCCCGTAACAATAATAATGCTCATTAAAAACAAATCCCTTTTTTTTTCCTTCCCCTCTTCGCCCCCTGCCGCCCTCCTTTCCCCCCCCCAAAAAAATCAAATAAACCAGCTCTCCTCCAGGTTTGTCAGCCCTTGTAGCTGGAGATCCAAGGGAAGGACGCCAAGAATTCTAAACAGTAAAGGTAATTCCTTTTTATTGAGCACTGTGCCAGGGAGCTGTAATGCCTTCCCGGTTGTAAACAAGAATGACTTCGACTTACTAGGGTCCAATTCGGTCTTTTCTTCTTTGTGTTTGTTGGAAGCGACGGCCTCAGATTCCGGAGAGGGTATAGTCTGCGGGGTTCTGTCCCTGAGATCTCCCGGGGATCCATACATATAATCCGGATAACTACGTCCATCCACCGGTCCGCAGTCCCTGCGGCCGTGGAAGGCGTCGGGTTTAAGCCCGTAGTGCCGGCTGCTGGCTGGAAAACCTGGGAACGAGACCGCGCCGGAGATAGGCTCCAGCCAAGTGCGCATATACCGAGTGTCAGTTCCAATGTGTGGCTGGTGGGTGTACGGGTGGTAAACCACGGACGACTGGGAGTGCACGGGAGCCCACGAAGTGGTAAAAACGGCCGGTTTGGGGGCAAAGCTGCAGGACGGAAAATCTGCACACTCCGGTACCAATCCTGACGGTCGGGCTGCAGCAGGATGAGAGCCAGTAGCTGGGAACCGGGACGCCAGCAAGTCTTCGCTCTCGTGGCTAATCAAAGAATCTACATAATAGTTGCTTATGGGACCCGAAGCCGACATTGTTCCCCCCCTCTTTTACATTCATAAGATTATTGTATGAACTGTATGTGTACTTTTTATCTTCTCATAGAACAATCAGGGCAGGTAATTATTTTTTCAGCCTTTCCTAGCGTGCCATTGGCTCCGAGGTCCCACGTGATTATATTTACCCAAAATACAGTGTAGATCAATCCGCAGGTCTTTTTTTTCCCTCTCTCTCTCTCTCCCCTCTCCCTCTTTCTATTTTTTTTTTCCTTTTTTTTTTTTTAAATAATGCCTATGCGACTTGGGTTTTCATCAAACTCTTGAAATAATGCCGTTATTAGCAGCAGCGGTCGGATCTTACGTGTCGTAAGCTGAAAGGCGATTCGCTCGTTGGCTTGGCTTGGCTTGGCTTGGCTGGCTGGCTCGGCGACCTGGCTTTTCCATAGCCCTGCTGCTAATGAGGGTGTAAGGTAGCTGGTGTAGCAAGGTAGCACAAGGAACTATTTCTTGACGCAATTTGTCTCTGTCTACTCGCTCTGCTTCTACAGCTTGTATTCGATAATGGATACATTACATGGAAGATCTTTAAAAGGGGAGGTGGCCGATGGAAGGTCCTCACGGAGTGATCCTGCTTGGCTCTCAGCCTCTCCGGCACCGGCTCCTGAATTTTAATGACATTCATGTATGTATATGTATGTGTATGTGTATAGCCACAGATATACATATATACATATACATCCTCAGGTTTTATTTTATTTTTTTGCCAGATAAAACCATCCGTTTCTACATACATGGATGTGTATGTATGGAGGGAGAGACTGGGTGAACACACACACATGCACGCACATACATACAAACGCACAAAACACACGCACACGCTCGCACATACACACACACACACTTTCTGGAAGGAAAGAAGAAGATGACTTTGTAAAAACCCAGAGACTGGAAAATAGCAAGAACTCCCCCCCCAAAAAAGTGGCAATTCCTCTTCCCAAGAGGCTACATTATTCGGCAAGTAGTGGTAGATGTTTTTTTTTATGTCCTTCAATAAAATTTTTACGAGGATCGTTTGATTGTTCATGAATGTGTCGTTCACTAAATAAAACTGTACGAGTAAGTTTCAGTGATGAGGCATAAGTGGGAGTGAGGGAGTTTGTTTTTGCAACTGAAGACAGAAAGCTAGGGTGTGTGTTGGTTTTAAAACCAATTTATTCTGCTTTCCTAGATTAATGTGGGTGTATGTGGGTGGGTGCGGGCATTAAAAATACCTGAAACTTTCCGTCGATTCAATCGATTTGCAGAACTTCACTGAAAACACGTATCTGTGTCTCTCTGTGTGTGTGGGGTGGGTGGGTGGGTGAACGCACGCGCGTGCGTGTGTTAAAAAAAATATATAACCTTGGCTTGGTAGAGTAAGGTGATTGGTATAGTTTATTACCCTTAGTGGTCTGGAAGGGTAGCTTTAGTCCCTGGCTCTGGAAAAGAAATCTGCAAAACGGATATGTGTGTGTGTGTGTCCCCCTCCCTCCGTTCAAGAATACCAGAGAACACCACAAGAGACGCAGCGGCAGCTACCACTACAACAATCCGTGTTGTTCCTTTTTTTGTGGGTTTTTGTCAAAGAAGGACCAAGATTTCCAATACAATAACAGCAGAGGCGGCTTGGAAGTGAGGTACAGTTTCAACCCAGTGGAGGGAAGGGGGTTGCAAGGCTTAAGGAAAGTGGTTGCTTATGGGGCTGGAAGGGGGGGGAGAGAAAAGGGACATTCAGAGGACAGAAAAGGAGGGGGAACCGTGTGCCCCAGGGAGATGGAGTAACCACTAGGGACACACTCAAAGCTGAGGGCTCAGGTCTCCTCTTGATACAGGAGCAGGCAGTGGATTTATTTTTAGGCAGCTTGCTGGGGGGAAAAAATAAATCTGAAGGTGCATTTGGGTAGGCGGCAAAGTAGCAGGCAGAGCCATTCCCCCCCCCCCGCCCCACTCAGTTAGTGCTTATTCACTGCTTATTGTCCTCCTCCCCCTCTTTCTTCTCCCTTGAAAAAGACCCTGGAAAAGTTGTTGGATGGAACTGATTAAAGATTCCTGAATGGATATGAACTCAGGAGGTCTTGATCGTGTGCCTCAGCCTGCCCTGGCCGGAGTAGTAAAACTGTATTTCATTCCATAGGGAGCAGACTTGAAATAGAAATACTGTAAGGTTTGGCTGGTGTGTGTCCTTGTGTCTCTGCGTGTGTCTCTGCATTCAAGATTTGAAAAGAGTCTTGCTGCAGATTCTGTACTAACCCCCTTCTGTCCACAGTTCTCCTCCTGTTTTCAACCTTGCACTTTCTGGACGAGAAATTGTCCTATAAGGAACCTAATGTGTCCTCTGGCCTGCCTTGAGTTCAGTTTGTCTGTCAATCACAATTCTCTAATGGCTTCATCTTTCCTCTCTGAATCTTGGGGGGGGGGAGAGTTAGTACCTAGGATGCTTTGATGATTTTACCTCTGGGTGAGTGGAGGGCTCCAAAGGGGGATATGAAACATTGGAGGATATGAAATCCTTGCTTAGTTGCACTGAAGAAATATAATTTTCTTTGCAAAGAATCAACCTTCCAACTGACTGACAGGTTATATTCTATCTATCTATCTATCTATCTATCTATCTATCTATCTATCTATCTATCTATCTATCTATCTATCTATCTATCGTATGTGTGTATATACGATATACACACACGTATATCCTATATATCCTATATATCTATACCTATACAGAGAGTAAACAGAAAGCATAACATTAAGCATAAAAAGAGGGACTAACGCATGAATCCAAGTCAAGAATAGCAGATTATGAGTAGAAAAGGACTTAAACGAAGCCAGCAAGGTCATTGAAATATCCTTGAAAGAAGCATTTATGGAATGAAAACGCAGACAGCAGCTGAAAAGTGGAAGTTGCCACTTTTATTTACCAGGGATCCTCTTATCCCAAACACAACAAAAACCACAGCAATTTCCCTTCAGGGCTGCAGGTTGTCCTGGGGCATTGATCCTTGAGGGCTCATGGTGCAAAGATCTTGGTGCAAGTGCCCTCTGGAAGTCGTGCTCTGTCAGGGAACATAAGATAATGAAAGAGACAGAGGACTACAGATCCTCTACAGATAAAATCAAATGAAAGACATGCCTTTGCATCCAGAATATTATCTATCTATCTATCTATCTATCTATCTATCTATCTATCTATCTATCATCTATCTATCTATTATAATCTTTCTCAAAACCTAACCAGGAAAGGTGCCCCCCCCCCCTTTGAAATGGGCACCATTCTGGGAAGGGATAAATTTTCAGTTAACCTTGCAAGAGGAGGGTGGGAGATATTGGGGGGGGGGTGTTTATATTTTCGAATATTCTTCTTTGGGTACAAGAATTTCCAGTTACAGAAGCCGAATGCGTTGGCTACATTTCTATATGCATTCTGCCCAGACTCTGCATCAAGTGATCTAGGTAGCAAGGCAAAAATCTAGCCAGCTCACAAGGCAAAATCCTGCCCTTCGATAAAAGATACAGTAGAAAGTCTTTAAAAGAACGTGGCGTGTCCAGGTTATTTTCTATGTGAACATTGAATATGTGTGTGTGTGTGTGTGTGTGTGTGTGTAATTTTATATATATATATATATATATATATATATATATATATATATATATATATATATTATATATATATATATATAATATATATAATCATTGAATATTATATATATATATATATATACATACATATATATATATATATACACATACATATATATATATATATATATGTATATATGTATAATATTATTCAATTATATATAATATAGTATCATTGAATATATATAAATATATATATATATAATATATATATAATATATAATATATATTATATATATATATAAATATATATATATAATATTATATATATATAT